TATTTTTGTACTTTTTATTAATCTCGTGTTCCATTCTATTTCTACCTCCATGTCCAATTGACAAATGATTTTCATGTAAAATATCATATAACTGAACATTATGCACATAATATTTTATTGCATTACCTTTAAATACATTTAAAATTTAATTAATTAAAAAAAAATTGTAATACTCTTATATAAATAACCATATAAACGAGTATAATTAAATTAGTATATAATATCATTGATTAGGTAAAATAATATTATGCAGATTATTTGTAAAAATATTTCACAATTTACATTGCCCAATATACCTCGGACATTGCATACAAGCCCGGTCACTGTGTACAATGCCCGGGCATTGTATACATTGCCCGAATTTTCCACTTTGCCCGTAACATATATAACAGAAATAACAGAATATATGACCTTATTTCAAACTGTTTATGTACATGATATAATTATTACATAATCACTATAAATTATAATAATTCATTAATTCATATGCATGACTACCGTCGTTGGATCGTTGTAAGATTTGACGTAATTTAGTGTTTTGTAGAAGGACATAATAAGTCATCCATAACATTTATTTCTTAAATTATGAATCATAATGTACCTTAATATATTATAATTTATTATTTTATTTATAGCATTTGCACCTGGTACGTGAATATACTATATATTTTTTAGTGTTTTTAATTTTGAGCTTCGATTCATTTGATTTGTATGTCAGAACTTTTGTAATGTTCACCATTCTCCAACCTTTACTTATATTGTTTTACCCTCCTCAATTTTGAATGTATGAACCCGTTCAGTTGAGGTTTATCATCCCAATGTTGAGTAAAACTATTCTCCTTCTGCAACAATATTTTTAGTATGGATTCATAAACTATTAAAAGCACAGTTCATCAGTTAAATTTTAATAATTTTATTTTTTTTTTCCACGCATATTACATCTTTGCACATAATTTTCATCAAATTTCAGAAACATTAAGAACAAATTAACCCGATGTTAACTTTTTTTTAACCGACAAAAATGCGTAACTTCTTGTCCATTGTTTCTGCGTAGAGATTTAAATAAAGTATAGTCGGTGAAACCTCTGATGGTCGTAGTAAAATGATGGTAGGGGGTCGTCTTTAGTCAGTTTTGACGTGAGGAGTGGTTGACTTTGATTTCCTCGTCACTATGGTTGCCATCTTGCTGTTTTGTCCATATTCAATGCTAGCCTCTACTGGGCTTATTTTTCACGTTCATTCTGTTCTGTGGCTATCAAAGTCGGTCATCCATCGTCATTCGTCACCAATTCGGTGCCATTGACATTTGCCTGCACTAAAAGCCGTAGCCTAGAGTCTTGGTACTCAAGCATGTCATCCGTCGGCAGGCCGCACAGAATCTCTTTAGCATCACTAGCATTCAGGATTCCCCTGAGAGTTTTTGTCATCGAGATTCGCACTATGTTCCAGCTGCAGGGGCATTGTAAAATAGTATGAACGAAATATTTTCGGGATCGAACAGTATCCACACGTTCAGTCTCCCGCAATTTTTATGTCTCGAGGATAACTTCAGTTTTGTTTCATACTTTTAATTTTTTTTACATACTTTGATATTTTTATTACAATAAAGTCCGTTCTCCATCTATAAATATTTCGATCTATTTCAAATTAGGCAGTATCTATAATTTCAAGATAGGTTCATTAATTATTTCGCATAAATAAAAAGTAAATATAATTTTTTTTTTTAGATCAAGTAATAATCAGTAAGTGTAATATATTCAATTAAAAAATGTACAATTTATTTATAGATTGAGTTAAAATGTTCACCGTTAAAAATATTAAAACCTGTAGAATACCTATGGTTCGTTGAATAATTTCAATTTATTGAAAACTAATATACTTCAGTATAAAACAAAGTAAAAACATAAAATGAATCAACTATATTCACTAACTTGTTTCATGTATAGAATAAAACATTCAAAGAATACTGTGTATACCTTCAGCCTTCGGTTCCTTTTTACTTGGAAAGATGTTTGGAAAAACAGTTGGAACATGAAGTATACACTTTTCACTTGGTAAAAATAGTACTCACCTTCTATCTTTACGAGCCAACTGAATCATCCAATTGAACTGATAAATTTCTTGCTGCATTTTATTTATAGTAATTAGTGAACCGTTTTCGTATTTTAAGGCTTCATCTACATTTTTCAGATGTTTCTTGAAAATTGTGTATCAATATTATTAAGCTTCTGGGTGGTGTTGTATTTTGTTCTTGAATATCTTTATTTTGGTCCAATCCAAGAATTTTCTCTACAAACGTTTGGTGATAGAAATTTTCTTCTGAGGTGTTTTGGTGTTGTAAATCATAAGTGCATCTAATGTCCTAATATAATTTCAGTAGCAACTTTATGATACAATCTAAGACATTTTCTCTCTTGACTACTATAATAGCTTGACAACTGATCGGATAAATCGATCCCGGTCATTCGAGCAATATAATCAATAATAATTTATGGTTACACTACTCCTTCATTTTATCTGTTTTTCTTTCAAATGTCCACCATATTTAAATTATGACATGCAGAAAGCATTGTTACGTTTCGTTTGTTACGCTACTTTGCACCAAATATTAAATTAGAATTTTATTTCCCAAAAATTTGACCAAGTAATACTATTGCTTTTCTGACTTCCGATGAATTCACTCTGTTTCATTTCAACGTACTAATTAAACTCGTATCTATTTCTATAAGTTCATTTGCAACAATTATTATTGTACACAAATTACTGGGAATAATTTTTCTACGAACATTTAAATACCGATCACACAAATCTAAAACCACTATTGGTACATCTAAAACGTTTTCTTTGAGAATGAGTTTTTCCTACGTAATTTATCTAAATGGCACTATTTTTTCGTCTACTGCTATCGTACTATCAGGTTCCAACGTTTTTTGAAAATTTCAAAAATTTTTAATCACTAAATTTGTGATTTTGAAAATTTTATCATTATCCCGGAGCTTCCTCATTATTTGATAAATTAAAAAATCTCAATCACAGTTCAAATCTATTTCTAGACATAATCATACTAGCCACGGAATTCTTATACCAAGTTTTGATTTAATGTTAGTGATAGGTTAAATATTGAGCTTACCTAAATTATGAATGGTTACAGACAAATGAGTACGATTAAATGCAATAAAAAAGATTCACCTGACCACGTTCAGAACAAAAAGTGTGTAGTTTGTTGATGAAATACTGAAACACTTATTTTTTATTCAATTCAAACTTTGCACCAACTATTAAATTAGAATTTTATTTCCCGAAAATTTGACCAGGTAGTACTTTTGCTTTTGTGACTTCCAATAAATTCACTCTGTTTGATCTCAACGTACCAATTAAGCTCGAATATTTTTCTATAAGTTTACTTGCAAGAACTATTGATGTCCACAAATTACGGCAAATAATTGTTCTACAAACATTTAAATACCGGTCACACAAATCTAAAACCACACTAAATGAAAACAATTTAGTTGACCACGTTAAAAACAATAAGTGTTTAGTTTGTTGAACAAATACTGATACACTTATTTTTTATTTAATTCAAAATTTATTTCAAATGAATACTAAAAATCAATAAGTGGCGTTTACTACAGCGTCACAAGTAAGGTGAGCTTTGTATGATTTGAATATATTATGTGGAGATTAAATTAAAGTGTTTTTAATCCAAAGAGTAACCGACATATATTACATATGATGTAGAATATAGATAGGTATACCAAAAACAATTTGAAATTTTCACAATATCATTTATTTTTACAGACCAATCAATTCGATACCTTGACTTTATTATCAGTATGTATAAATATAAGTCATGTGTAAAACTTAAAATTGATTATAAATACCTATGTTATAACTTACGCTACGGACTTCCTTTCCTAAAAAACCTTAAAATATGTATGCATTTATGTCTTTAAAAATGACCAAATATGCTATTAAAATATGGACTAAAAAAAATAAATAACAGCATTTAATAAAAACCTTTTTATTTTAACGTGTAG